AATAGAAGGGGTGGGAGGGTTTTGAATAGAATTTACCTAGGCTAAGCAAGGGAGAGACAAAGGTAGAGCAAATTTCTTTTGTATACAAAGACTAAGATTGTTCTCTCGAATTCCCATAGCTTCGGCTATGTGAAAAAGACGGGTTCTGATTCCATTCGAAAGACTTGATGGAATGCGGTAAATAACTTTAAAGGTATTATTTTTGTCCACTTGGTGAACACTATCAATCAAATGAGGCAAAATAGAGCTTCGTATGGATTTTATTTGACCTTTTCCAAACCATGAAGGAAGATGCTCATTAATGCTTTTGTTAAGCTGTCTAGTTGTTCTGTCTATATAGCTTTCTCCACAGGAGCAACTAAATTTATAGATACATATGGAAGTTGCACAACTAGGTAGCTTATCTTTCATTTGAGCAGTCAAAATTGGTCGGCTGGATAATAACAAACAGAGGTTGGCGGCAGTATAAGTCCATTTTATCGCTCTCGATAATCTCTGATGTAAGACTTCACTAGCCACATCCCCATTTAATTGCAGTTTCATGAACAGTTGTTTCTTTTTAACTGTTGTCGTTTTGTCTTTATTGTACTTGACATTCATGTGTCTCCTTACAAATCTACTGGGATAACCCATTTGGAACAACGTATTTTGGATGTAACCTAGCTCATTCTCTAGAGAGTCATCTGTACATATGCGTCTTGCTCTATTCGTCAGGCCTCTGACCAAATTGATTTTGTATCGGATTGATAGAAAACTGAGGAAATGTGCATATTGCCCTACAGATGTAGGTTTTCTATAGACATCTCTCTTTAGTGAACCATCCTCTCTTCTGCTCAACTGGACGTAATTCACCATCATATTCTTCTTCACAAGTGAAGATGAGCGATGGATGGGCATCATTAAACTTTTTTAACATTTCATTCTTGTCAGCTTTCACATCAAGAATAATAAACGTATCATCAACATAACGAAAATAAGAATTAGCGTTTTCTATTACTGGTTTCAATGGACCATTTTTAATCATAGCGCGAAAGAAATCTGCTAAAATTGGCCCCAACGGAGAACCCATGGCAAAACCATCGATTTGCCTGTAGTCAAGGTTGTTGAATGTGAAGTGTACATTCATAGTACAACTTCTCTTCCAAATATTTATGTTCTCTTTTGTGAGTGTACTTGTACGGCATTCATCCGATTTACATATGACTTGTAATCATAAACATTATTACTCTGGTCTTACTTCACCATCCACGTGCGTGACAGTCACAACTTATTAATCTTCCATCGCGAGTAACATTTTCCGTTCTTTTACGGTCTTGGATAGATCTGATTTTTAAAACACTTGATAATTTGAACAACTGGCAGTAAGACGTTGATCTGAGTTTTATTACTGCTGAAGCTTATCGGTATAAGTCATAAAGAAAAAAGTGGTTTTGATTACTTCCAACGTTGAGTATTTCAAATACTCAAGTTCATCATTTATTATATGCGGCAGTAGTGGACAGATTTTATTTGAATTTATTTCTCTTGAAGTTTTAGTTAAACCTTCCCACCTGTTTTGCCTAAAGCATCATTATCACATACGGTTTACATTTGAGAACATTCATCTAGTTGTCCCATGAATAGGCTTCATGTGTGTATGGAACTAAATAAGTTAGGCGTTGATCATACATAGAATACTTTGTTATATTTTCATACTTTTATCTAGTATAGACGGACAGAATTTGATATAAATGTGGGAATGGATTTATGAAAATTTGTCAGAATTCAATTTTACCCCAGATATGTTTATTTCGTACAACGAATGATGATGCCTGTTATATATCCGATATCGCGTGTACTGTCCTGTTGATGCTTGCTAAATATTATCCTTATCGCCTGCATACAGAATAGCGGACAATGCAGGATATTATTTACAGTCAAGATTGAAGGTTAAGACTTCAGTCAATGATTCATATATTATCAGCTACTCACTATCATGGATAGAAGATTGCACCCAAGGGAAGATCTATTCTCCAAGTAGTTTGATGCTGTCATGCTAAGAGTATTCATGCTAACAAAAATTCTAGCGTACACAGTTAGTGAATCAAAGGCGATAAACGTTTGCTTCCTACTATCAGGCCTTTGCTTCAGTCATGATAATGACATAATTCAATGCACAACACAGAAACGCTCAATCTGATTTCTCATGAATATGTTAACAATTGTACAGATGCAATACAACAAATTATATGAGACATTGAAAACTGAGAGGAAATCCATGAGATTAAGGCGTGCCTACATCTATTCTGCAACAGTCAGTTTATTTTTTGGATTAATCATCAACTAAGAGCCGAAATATGAACCCTTTAGCTTCAAAAATACAAACAGTGTAGACAGCTTTAAAAAAATCAGTATTGAACTTCTATGTGATCTGACATTCGAAATACACTGGTAACTTTTGCTTATATACACTCATGCTGTTCTGATACACACTGCAAAACACGCATCCTTCACTTTCCCCAGTGGAACATAAGGCATCAAGTTAGTGGCTTGAAGTTTCTGTAGCAGTGTTTATTTTACAGGATGGGGTTGCTAGCCTCATGCCCAACCTTTACTATCTACCAGCATTATTTCTGGTTTAGCGAGGTAAAGGAGTGCGTCGGCCGGGGATCGAACACCGCACCATGTGCATAGTTGGCGAGCGTCCTAACCGCTATGCAAAACACGCATCAGTGATCATCATTTCTTGATTTCAGTTCATTAGTATCCAATCGCCTGAGCTGAAGTTATATAAAGGAAATATTTTCTGTATTTAAAATTTCAAATGATAATCGTGTTTCATTCAAACATCAACATGTACAAAACTGTGTATGAGTTATCAGTAATCACGCACTCGGCTTACAGTATCAAAATCCACATTGGTTATATCCACATCTGATGCTTCACTCATTTCAGCATATCTGCAGTAATTACTGCGATCTAGAAAAAATGACAACATGAAAACATCAAGGTAAAGAGTCAAAATTACGTTCATACCAGTTTGTTAAATTCAAGTTTAGTTGACATGCGACTGTACACTTCAATGAATAAAATAAACGATGCTTGGAAAATTACCAATATTCTTATTAGTGTTATATTAGTTTGAGCTATCGGGAGAAGGCCAGTAGGTTCAACTCACCAAAGACAAGGCAGCGTTGAAGTAGGCACCCACCAGTACTTTGCAGATTGCCTGAAAAATAAAAGTTGAATCTGTCAACAGTCAAATTATAAACCATGTAAAGAATTAAAGACATTCCAAGAAAGTGAGTCATTATTTCTTGTGTATGTTTTTATCAACACCACTGAGTAGAGAATTCAACGCTTCGAAGCAAATACTGGCTATAATAATCGGATGTCCGTAATCTAGGAAAGACTCACAGAAGAAGAGGCAATATTTGACGTGGTATCCAAAACGTAGAGTGATCCAGTGAAATGTTAATTGATATTTGTATAAATCGGCTTTCGTGTTTACTGTAATTACTTTCTTATCCTCAGATTTCGATGGTTTAATTGACATAACGTAAGACTGCCTGATTGTAAGATTTGAACATTTGATAGGACCGACAAGATGTCGAAATATGACAAAATCATTAAATATCATGTACCCACTATTGGAACAAGCACTTTTTGCTGCAACAAATGATAGAAGAGGTAATATTTTACGAACATAGATTCATCCAATAAACATGAATTCTCATCCGTTTGATCAAATATGCTACTGATATCAATCAATGTCTTCATCCTGTTTTTTCCAATTTTATCGTTGTTATCTCATTCACTCCCATTGAATATTTGTGTAAATCAGCATGTGGCTCACTAACTGATCTCCTTTATAAATTTCTGATTCTAATATTTCTCTTTAGTTGTGTTTTTGTAGCGATTAGTTTTGCTTTTACGAATTGATGGAATCCCCGTGGATGCGTACAGCCAATGATTCTCAAACTATGATGAAACAGCTGTCCAATACTCCCTGGTTTTTAATGGTTCCGCTAATTCAGATTTTGCTGCACCTACTCGCTTTCTTGTTCTAAGTAACCTTCTGCAAAGAATTATACATTTCAACTCACAATCACTTCAGGGTATAAAATAAAATAAATAATTCTGATTGTGTGAAGATAATCAGAACGGTTTTCATATCAGCTCTAAACAAAACAAGAATAATGTTCATACTTATGAAACACTGGTGCATTTTTCAGTAAATTAGAAACAAAGAAACATTATTTTGAGAGGTCAGTCACTGAAACTCTATTTACTGGAATTATTCCTCAGTCTTGTGATAAAATTCAGGCATCACAAATAAAAATGTACTACTGTCAATTAAGTCGGAGATCAACAAACAATAAAATAATATAAACACTTCTTGTAAATTATGCGACTGCCATGGTGAGATTATGATCCATATATTGTGATCGAAACATGATAAGAAATAGTTTGCTCATTTCTCAAATTCTATTGTCTAGTCAAAGATTTCATCTTTCATGTGTTGGAATTTGAAGTTCTGATGATTCGTACAGTCTGCTTCTGTTTTTGGTAGTCATTTAGTTTCTCCAACCAGTCCTGCTTCCAAAAATCAGAAAGCAATTTGAAAGGTCTTACAAATGTGAAAACTGAAGCAGTACGCAATTCCCAAACAATTCGTCTATTTCATATGTTGGAAAATGAAGCATATTGATTGGATGGGTGCATTTGAGGTGTTTCATTCGCTGATTTCAATTATTAGATATTAACCCTCAAAAATATGGTAATCGAAACAAATGTGAAATTATTTTCGAGTATTAAAACATTTCACTGCACACTTTAGTTCACTCACCCTTTTACATGGTACATAAGCCAAAACTATGGCAGTAACGAGACTGGTCAAGGATAAAACCCACAATACGATTAATACAGTCGCTTTTAATTTCTTGTTCTGGTAAATGAAAATAATGGCCGATATGTCTTCCAAAATTGTGATCCCAATTAGGATTAAATCGTATGTATCTTCATAAAGTGTCAAACAAATGTATGTAGACAATAGTAAAAGCTGTCAGGAAAAGAAATTGAAAATGCCTAAATAAAAGGCACATATTATTCTCTGTTTACTTAACGAATAATTAGCACCTAATGTTCACTGACAGTGACGACTTGACCTAAAAAGAGCTGCTTTTTGCTGGTATTTATAAACTGAAGAATGTGAGCGTTGAATTTATAACGTATTTCTGACCTTGATATTGTTTGAGTTCGACACGAAAATGTCTATCCGTCTTCCTTTTTCAGGATATAACATCTCCAAATTCAAATACTTAATTCTTTCAGTGATTATCAATGGTGCCTGTATCGTGTAACAAGTACAATTTTTAATAATTTGAAGTGATCACACAAGTTTGTTCACGTTTATTGATTGATGTGTTATTCGTCGAGTGCTATTCAAATTGATTAGACGAGTAAGGCGAAGCGATATTAAGTCAATGAAGGTGTAAAAAGCTTTGAGTATTGTTTAGACATCAAGATGAACTGAAACCAAATTTTCATCCTCAGCTCTTGAGAATCACGAAAGTAAAATGTTGAGCCATGGAAAGAATGAAATGATATTTTTGGAATGTTTATTATTATGATCATTCGTTTGTACTCCAAGTATAACACAGCGCTTCAAAAGTACATCTCTATTTTGTGCTCTATTCACACACATTTTTAACTTATCCTACGACTAAATGCAGATGACATTTACAATGTTACTGTCGTATAAACAGGCGGTAATTTACTAGACGGGTTACACTGGGGGGAGACGGCGTGCGTTGTCATCGATCAGTCATTGCACCATGTGTTTGATCCGTCTACACTTTGTTCAGCCTATGTGTTGAGCGTAAGGCTTCCTGATTATAATGTTTTGTTAAGAGTTTCTTGGCACTAACGTTTCCTGACCACCTCATCTGTAGTATTGAGAGAGGCAGTCTGAAGCCCATTCGAAGTGCTTATCGTGAGGCAAAATGTTTTTGTCAAAAACACAAGAGAATATTTGAAAATGCTTACATGCATGAAAAAAGTTAGGAATTTTGATGGAATTCATTTTTTTACTTAATAATTTAGTTTGAAGATCTTATCGACACTTGTTCATTAAGGAACCTCTGAAAGGTTTTTTATGTCTTTGGCTGACTCTCTCAAATCTCCAAATCACGTGTCCACGAATCATCTCAGGCGGAAATGGAGTATTTTCTTTCAAGACGATTCATTCAACCATATTTTTTGAAACCAAATAGTTTTACTGTTTTAATGAACTCTGTAATGAACACAAACCGCTAACAAATTAACAGCGTCATCTTATTATTTCCACATTTTGGATAACTTACAATTATTCCGAGGAATATGCAGGCGATTTTCCAATTTTTCCTGAATACGAAATAGAGTATTGAACTGAAGATGGGAACAAGTGCTCTAAAATTCAAATATGAAGTCACTGAGTGATTTTTTCGGTAAAAACTTATTTTTCTATGTATTTATAAATATGCACTCCGTTACAGTTGCATGTTCGACTTTGTTAGAATCTACAACGTGATGAAATTTCAAATAATCACTGTATGAAGTACTGGAAGAAATACATTGCCAGTAATCATATTTCATATCATAGATGTATGCAATACTAATATTTCAAATTCATCGAATTTGTCAACCACACACATAGATCGATGGATGTTGGTTTATATTCGATTTATATTTCCTCAATGTATCGGGTGAAAAAGCCAGTTCATTGGTGCATACTATGACGAAACTTTTGACGGAAAAATATATGCTGTTTATGGGTCATGAATCGTTTACAAGTTTTTTCTTAATACGTTTTGCACAAAATAATGTAAGAATACTAAACAAAAAATCAACCCACATCCACATGATTTACTATTTTTCCACATAGATGCATCAACGAATTAGGATATTCAGTCGTTAAACAGTTATTGTTATCATTCTTTTCCGTCCAGAGAAGAGATTATCGTTTAAATGCCACGTCACTGTCTTAACCTCCTTATTATATTATTTCTCCCTAGGTTTTCTAGTGAAACATCGGGCTTCAACTGCACGTCTCCATGTGCCACTTCTGTCTTCTGCTGTATTTTTCACCTGCATCCCTGTTAGTCCATGCTCTTTCAACTCCTCTTCACACGATCTCCTCCAAGTCACACTTGCACTGACATCCTACTCGCCCCTTCCCTTTCGGGTTCCACTCACGGGCTTGACGCGCTATGTCACCCAGCCGCCTCCTCAGCCAGTGTCCGCTGAGTGTCTCCACTTTCTCCCGCATATTTGTTGGGCGATTGGTTCTTGCTTTGTTTGTTCCCATAGTTCCTCGTTGGTGATTCATTCCGACCCGGCCATCTGCTCTTCAGTAAAGAGCGAAGACAGTTGTTAATAAAGGTCTGCAGCCTTTTGGAAATATTCTTTCTGACCCTCCAAGTTTCTGATCCGTATAGAAGAACTGACTGACTTGACGTTTGTATTGAAAATCCGACTGAATTTTGTTGTTGATGCTGGCTGAGTGACGTAGATTTTCAGATTGGTTTCAGGTTGATGAATGTGTTTCTCGCCTTCCCGATTCTCGCTGGATTTGACATCCTCGTCCGCTCTTACTGTAGTTGCGACAACGCTCCCTAGATAAGTGATAGAAGTAAACTCTTTCAAATCCCTCCCACTGATAGTGATTGACGCTTGAAATTGGTGCTTTTGTTGTTGTTGGTTGGTTAGTTATTTTCATAACCTCCGTCTTGTCTATGTTCACTTGGAGTCCTGTCCTCACTGGCTGCTTCTTCGACCAGTTTGTCGGTTTTCGCTTGTAAGTCTTCGATTTTGTGACATTCAGTGACATCAAACATAAATCATCCACACGCGAAATCCAGGTCTTCTAAGTTCTTCGCGTCGGTCCAAGATATTCATATCTTCTCGTTTCACACTGTCTGACGCATGATCCAGTCCACCACAATTAGGAATATCATTGGTGATAATAAGCCAGCACCCTTGTCTGACTCCTGTATTTACTCCAAACGCCTCGCTGAGTTTTCCGTTGTGGATCAATTGACATGTGCCGCCGTTGTCGTACAGCTGTTGAATAAGGTTGATGAATATTAGGGGTACGCCTTAGTCCTGTCTACATTGCGTCCTTTAATCTCTACAGGATGATGCGACTCAGGATTTTACTTGGCGTCGACAGGAGCATGATTCCTCGCCAGTTCTCGCAGAGTAGGGAGTAAGTTGCCCTTTATTGGTAGTTTCACGAGGTGACATTTCCTACAGTCAGTAAGCACCTTTCTCTCGTTCTAGACCTTTTGTAATGGTCTGTTTAAGAGGCCTTTGAAGTGGTCCGCCCATTATTGAACCTGTTCTTCTTCCTGGGTGATTGGGTTCTCTTGGCTGTCTTTTATAGGTTTCGCTTGTGTTGGTCTCTTCCTGGATAGAGATTTGGTTATCTGATATAGTGTCCTCAGGTCTTTTTTGCCTGCCTTTTCAGCTTCAGTGGCCACGTTGTCGTAGATTTGTCTTTTGTCCTTCCTAGTACTCTTCTTGACTTCTTTGTCCAGTGCTGTGTAAGCTGAGCTCGCCGTCTTTTTCTCTTTTCCGTCCTTGCATTGAATCATTTTCTCTTTCACCATTCTCCTCTCTTCCAATCATTTCCAAGTGTCCGTTGAGAGCCATTCCTTGTCTTGTCTCTTCTGTCTTCCTAGAACCGTTGAACACGTTTCGTTGAGAATCGCCTTCAGAGACTTCCAATGTTCTTCCACGCATGATTCTTCAGTGCTGTCGCGTAGTGTTTCCTGCTTTGCTCTGACAGTTGCAGTGAAGGTGTCTTTTGTGGTTGTGTCCTTCAGTAATTGAGTGTTGAACTTGCATTTTGGCCTATCCTCAGCTATCCTAGAGGCTTTTAGTTTCAACTTGAAAGTCCCTTCTACTAGATAGTGGTCTGAGCCCACATCTGCTCCTCTCCTTGACCTTGTGTTCAGTAGGCTCCATCTCCACTTTCTTGAAATTGAAATGAAGTCTATTTGATTCTTGGTGTTTTCATCTGGTGAAATCCATGTCGTCTTGTGTATATCCTTGTGTTTGAGCACACTACCACCAATCACCAAATCATTGAAGCCGCAGAAGTCAGAGAAGAGTTCACCATTGTCGTTCATTTCACCAAGGGCTTCTCGACCCATGGTGAGTTCTCTTCCTGTGTTGTCTCCTCCCAGCTTCGCATTCATGTCGCCCATTGGGATTTTGATATCGCCATTTAGAAAGTTGTCCATTATTGCTTGTATTTGTCTGTAGAACGCCTCCTTCTTTTCTTGTTCTAAGATGTTTGTGGGCGCATAACATTGAATGACTGTAACTTTCCTTCCCTTTGAGTTGGACCTGGCTGTCATTATCCTGGAGGAGATTGGTTCGCACTGCATGAGAGCTTTGGCTGCTGTTGGTGACATCATGATGGCCACTACCTTGGTGTGCTCGTTGTCGTCCACTGAGTGGCCGGAGAAGATTACTGTCTCCAGTAGTTGGTTGGCACCTTCCAGTTCCCTTCCATCTGCTTTCGCAGATTCCCAACACTTCTATTCTTTCTCTGCTCATTTCTGCGGCTACCTGTACAGCCTCTCCAGCTTCGTACATTGTACGAGCCATTCTTACTTTTGCTTTCATCGAAAGAAGGCACATCGGCTGACTAGCTTCCCGAAGGCTTTCACCAGCCTGCGTCATTTCACTTCCCTGATTCCAAGAAAAAATAAGGCTATTGCTCATGTTTTTAGAATTTTTAATATATTTATTCGTTGAAGTTTCTGTAGCGATTCGGTTGTTTTACAGGGGTGGAGTTGCTAGCACCATGCCCCAACCCTCCCTCTTTACCCGGGTTTGGGACCGGCTAGAAAACTAGTAAGCTAGTAGCCTAGCAAGCTAGTAATCTGAAGAGGTTAAATAAATTAATTTTAAGACGGCGTCACTGCTGTCCATTAACGCTCAGCTCAACTGTTCACACTTTACTTCGTCTAAAGTTGGAGAACCCAAATCACCGATCCGCTTTCGTGTTCCACTCGGCTTATATGGCACTCTACACTCCCTTCAACCTGTGTTCGGTATATGTGAAAACTTGTATGCAACTAAATTTTAGGCCCAAATGGTTTCCTGATACATTTCAGTGATGAATAATTAAAATGTGCTTTGAGTTTGTACTAACTGCTTAATAACAAAACATTATGGTCAGATCACATTAGTTGTGTTTCTCATCAAATGTAGCGAAATGTGAAACTCACATGCAAACGATTGCTACAATGTGTTGCGGTTTCATTGGAATTAAGTCGTCGATCTGAAGAATTACAAATTCATTGTTAGTTTCTGATGAAACGATATTTTTGATGCATTACTCCAAAGTCTGTGATTTGAACTCACATAATCTAGAATTATGATGATTTTTTAGATTGCCTGGTCTGATTTTTCGTTGACGAGATTTAAGTTGCCTCTTTTCTCAGGATGTCATAATATTAGTGAGCTAATAATTTTAATAAAAATAGTATTAAATAAGTTTTGCAGTCAGTGATATAAGGTGGTTGGTGGAAGTTGGCAGAAAGCCTTGAATCTTTGTTTCATGCAGCTCGTCACTCCTCAGCAAGGTGTATCTGCAACCTTAATGAACTCTTGTTCCTTCTGAGATTCGAATGTGAGTCAGTCAGTGCTGCAGTTGTGGTGAATACCTGGATTGGTGACCAAATTGCTTGGTCATACTAAGACGTCTTGCTTTTAAATAGTCCTTTACCTAAGATAGTGATTCTACTCCAGAATTTCACATATAGGTGAAGGGTATGTTGTGAGGGAATATTATGCTCTTGTGAACTGAGGATATTCTACAAAGCATATATGAGTTATCTAATATGCTCATTTCCAATTACTCTCATTCATCGCCATTAAACCTGGAATAATATGCATTTGTATAATAAATAGGTGGAGTATCTTGTTTTTCCCATCTAAAGATGTCTTATGGATAGATTCTCGTGAACAGCAGGATAATCGTAATGAGGACAGTTGTTAAAAAAGGAATTACTTACATGTGGTTGAAATAGCATAGACCACTAATATTTACGCGAGTCAAATACTATGATTGCACTTAATTAATTATTAATCTCGTACTTTAAGCTCTACTCCAAAGTTCTATTAGTGATTGTTTAATTAAAATAGCTAAACAATAATAATGAAGCTGTTTTACTTCGACCTGAATACTATTTCATCTACAAAATTACACACATCATTCAATAATGCTACCAAATCAACTGATATTGATTTTTGTGTCGGTGTTAGAACATTCAGGCCTTAAGACCAGTGAAATATAATTTCTCCTGACTCTCGATACTTCACAACTGACTGTGAATATAATTGAAGAGAATCAGTCCTGACGACAGAAAATAAGTGAACCTTCCAGTTGAGCATGCCTCCATGATAGATGAAGGCAAAGCCCAGGACTCGAGAATAACTAGTTTTTCGTTATTCGATTCAGGATTTCTAAGTGTATGACTCTTTATTAGAAATGATTTTGCCATCAAGAATAACACCAATTCCTCAGAAAAAATCGTTACTGTGAAGTAGTGCTGTTTCGTAGTTTGCGAGGAATGTCTACTAGATAAAAGGGATCGTTTTTTTCAGTCTCTGGACCTACAGATTTCACATCATATAACGGATCTACTTTGCTGCAGATTTTTCTGCATGTCTGTCTCCTAATCTAGCTAATTTTTAGTATTGATTGCAGACGTTCATTCGTGAAAATCATGGTAATTTTGTTCCAAAAGCGAAGCAGATCTACATTGTGTGTTCTTCGTAGAAGAAAGTATTTGGTGTGAGAAGTACTCTGTGTGGTGTCAAAAGATGTAAGCCAGCCTCGCGAGTTATCAGCGAGAAATAACAGAAACTTGGAAGGACGAGATATGATACTGACGTGATTCATCATTTCATCAGACTGATTCAACATTAAATTAGGATATAACCTAACATATCGTTACTTGAAGGTTTACAGTGAAAAGAGGTAGAATGGTGAGTCAGTCTACACAATCGTGTCTGGATTCTAAGTTTCATTTGTCTTAGTAATCCTTTTATCAGAAAACCTTGAAGAAAATCACTGAGCATTTGTTGGTTATTGAGATGCGTCGAGATGTTATCATGAAAGTTCTCCTATTTCAGATTATTTCGATTTATGCAATATTCCCAGTCTCTTTTTTAAACGAATTTGTCATCAAGGTCTATAATCCTATCAAAGTATCAATCAGCATAATGAGGGAAGGATTTAATAATGGTATAAACAAAACTTAAAATAAGTAGATCCGAAATAAAAATGATCACAATCATTGGAAAGGATAGATAGATTATGACCATGCTATTTGCAAGAGTTGTTTATTCTTTTTCTATACAACACACATCCAACTTATGTCCCAGCGTGATCCTTTTTTGAAGGATTTTGGCAGCCAAGTAAGTATTAAAGTTATCATTAGAAATCATAAATAAGCGGTGCTAAAAATGACAATAAACTTGTTGAAATAAAACTCTACTGAATCAGTTCAATTGATTTATTCATGCTTAAAAATAAAAATATTTCCCAAAAGAATTAGGTTTACCTTATTTCACATCGATGCACTGACGACAAGACATTAAATTTATGTATTTATGTGTCTCATTCTTAGTTAAAACAATGTGAGTTTGTGGTATGATACACTTATCGACGAAGTATGAGCATCTGCTCATATGTTTATTCTGTATTGATCTTTGTGAATGTCCTCCGCACCTGTGTGATTGGTGGATCAGAAATTGTAGTTAACGTGTTTTTTTATCTCACTTGGTAAATGAAATGTGTTTTGTGCTTTCGATCCTTAGTAAAGATGTTTATATGCATTTTGTGATTGACTTTGTAGGATCGACTGAGGTTAGTCTATTTCTTCGTGAGCCTGACTAACATTCACTGCACCAATAGAAATCTTTATTCATAAGTAAAAACACAGTTTTCGTTCAGTGAAGAAATTTCCTTTCAACGACTTCATTTTCAAGCTGTACAGTTGTATTTATATTACAGAAAAAGGTTATTAAGTGGCACTAAATAACTGCTCAGTCAATGTACGTATATATGTGATAAAAGTTATAAGGCGTAGAGTTGAAGTGGACAAATTACAAAAACATTAAAGATTGTTCTATAACAAGAATATCAAGTGTTGTCTAAAAATTTTGAAAATTAGTAGTACGATTACGATAAGAATGAAGATGTGAAGTGAAGTGGAAAGAATTCAAGTGGTAAAATAAAATAAAAACTAGAAAGAACATTATTATGACCAAGGTAGAGAAAGGGGTTTGACAAAACGCTTTTGAACACATAATTTAGGTTTCTGTTCATGTTTAGCTAAAGCTTTCGCTATGCGTAAGTGAAGAAAACGTAAACTTTTGAATCGATTCGATTTTGCCATGTATATAACTTTGAAAGATGAATCACGTGGGGCTAAATGACCAGATTCTAACGGGTGATCACAAATAGACGACCTTGCAGTTCTACGTAGAACACATATATACGTACATTGACTGAGCAATTATTTACTGCCACTTAATAACCTTTTTCTGTAATATAAATACGACTGTACAGCTTGAAAATGAAGTCGTTGAAAAGAAATTTCTTTGCTGAACAAAAACTGTGTTTTTACTTATGAATAAATGGGTATTTTTTGAGAAATCTTTATGATAAATGTCTTGTCAGAAGCTGAAAAGATCAGCACATGTTCACAAATATGAAGAGGATTACTAATTTTGATTTTCAGAATTTCTTAAATTGTCATTTTTTGAAACTTCTTCACATTAATTTGACTTTAATGCATTCACAATGTGTGTTTACGATTTTGTTATTTATTGAGAAGGAGATTACCCGTGATCATAGCGAATCATGTAAGACTGATGAACGAGCATCTCAACAGAGATATCTCCTGGGCGATTTCAATCTCAACAGCTGTACAACCGAATCTGTGCACATCAGTTGACAAAGTTGCAATTATTGGTTATTCAACATAGTAACAAAAGAGATTAAGTGATAATATTTTTCAAGTTGATAAGATTATTTGGGGGTGTGAATACAGATAACAGAGGGATTAGAGACAAAATTGTACAGAATAAATTAAAACGTCGGAGGAATGTGAAATACTTGCATTTAATGAATACAGGCGTAAATATGTTGCGCACATGAATAAACTCATAACAGAGAGACAACAACTTTTGTTAATGTAGTGAATATAAACACCTTAGCAATTGATATCTAAGAGATCAGCTAGTACTGAGTGCATTGTTGCCCTCTGTTAGTTTCTGAATTCGTATAACTTCTTCTTCGTCTGTATCGAAGAATTGATACCTCTATTTTGCCCACATTTATCTTTCTTAAATTAACTAATCCTCACTTATGTCCTGATGGGTGATTTTAAACGACCTGAAAACGGTGATGCATTTCCATCAAAATAAAATTGTATGCCATTTGCATCCCACTATAGATTTACATGGGTTTTAAGGTGAAATGTAATTATATAACTTGATAGTAGACTGATGTAAAACTGAGTTCCACGCGAATCTGATTGTAGATTTCTTGACAATAACACCGAGCTACCTTGTTTTGTACAAACAAACTTAATAAGAATTTGTCTGGTCTCGCAGTTTTATTCTTATTTCATTATTAGTTACTGACATTCGCTAGCATCGTTCATTGATATCTAACTTGCTGTTTTGGATTTATCAAAGTAAGGGAAAGCAGAAAATCAAGTAAAGAATGTTAATAGTTCATCAATGTGTGCGATCATATTGTTAGAAATGAAGCTAATAATATTATTTATTAGTTTCATTTTCTTAGGGCAAATCAGAATATCCAGGTAAATTTTACTCGTTATGTATCGCGTTTACCTGAGTGCGATTAGTATAACTAAGTGAGAACAGATCACATATAATGAAGATGACAACTTGAAAAACTTTCCTCAGCTGCTAACATAAGGGGGGAATATAAATACAGAATTCAATACAGTAAGGCAACTGACGTTATCAGCTATGATGTATGATGCTCAGACGACTACAGTTGTTACAGGAAACCATTCAACATGAAGTGATGATCCCTAAATCGAGTCAAACCACTATAACACTATAGACCATCACTAGCTAGTTTTCTTTTATTCGCTTTTATAAGGATTCATACAAGTTAGTCGATTTTTCTTCTTATTTTGGGGCGTAATGACTTTGTTTCAGTGTTACTCTAACATGAATTATTAACACAATTCCTTTTCCTTGTGTTTCAGGTTTATTCACATAGCCAGACGATGTTTTCATCGTCGAGTCACATAACCTTATCAAAAGCAACAACATATAGTCGAAATTCGACAATTAGATAATAAAAAATCCATGATGAACACTTTTCTTTACCTTCTCAAGAAGCAGTTGTGAATAAATAAAAATGAAAATCCTGGTGCGCAG